TCGTCTGACTCGTCTCAATCGCGCCGAGGTTCTCACTTTTCTGAGTTCTCTCTCACAGTCACAGCTCTTTGCCTCTTTGGCTAGGTTTCTGTTTCTCCCTTTCTAATTTCCTGTAGTGAAGTGAAACTAGGGAAAGACTAAAGAGGGTAAGAGTTGGGCCTTATTGGGTTGGGCTGGGCACTAGGGCAATGTAGAGAATTAGAGATACAACATATTGGGTTGGGCTGGGCAGTATAGGTCCAACATAAAAATTTTTAAAATTTGATATTTCGGTATACCGAAATTTCAAGATCCTAATACCGAGGACTGAACTGTTATACCAAAATACCGAAAATGTAATACCGAATTATACCGAAATACCGAAAAAACCGAAATCGAAATACCGAATTAATTCGGTCCGATTCGGAATTTAATTTTTCGGATTTTATGCCCACCCCTATGATCTTCGGGGTCGGTCGTACCATCGTAAACTTGGGTATGGCATATGGGGCGGCTTCATCATTGTAGGGCTGCTCGACGAACCGACCAGCGTCTATTTTTGGCAAGAGTTTTGGTGCACCCGGTATTTTGTCGACCCTTTCTTGGTGTTCTCTCATTTGATCCCGAAGCATTTTGTTTTCATTTTCCATTTCTTCTATTTTCCTCAGAATGGCCGTAAGGGTATCGTTACCTGCGTTATTAATATTGTGAGTGATACCTGCTACTAAAAGGGAAGGGTCGTGCTGCTCGGCCGCTGCTGGTGCAATATAAGTCTCTGCATTTTCTCTATCTACCTCATGAGTGGGCTTGTTTAGGATGTCGGTCAGCGTATTTGTCAGCAAGGCCTCGAGTAACTTCTTCACCGCTAGTGGCGCCTCTTCCGCTGTGGACGTGGAAGCTTCTTTACCACGGGATGCTGTGATACTGCCGTGAGGGAGTAGATTCCATCGGAGAGAGGTGATATGTATTGTGTCTTTGCCTTCTGTTTTGGAGACCTCATTGATGGTGTTTAAGAGGTTGGTAGTGAGATCGGCCACTGGCTTCGTCCTTTTTTCTCCTTTTTCTGCCATGTCATATCTCGGTGTACAAGGAAGTAGGATCCTCTCTCTTTTTTTGTGAATTGTGTTAGTTATAGATCTAGAAGAAACTAAAGATTTAACTAGGATATCCCCACAGACGGCGACAAGTTATTTGACCAAAGAATGATTATTTTTGGCTAAACTAATTGAATATATTTGATTTGGGGTTAAGCCTAGCTAATATTAATAACTTCATATATGAACTCAATATGCGATACCGATAAGGATAGAAGAAGATCTCGCATTCAAGTACTTCAAATGGCACTAAGATAAATAAAGGGAATGATTCACCCAAAATCGAATAGGATAAAAACGGCCCTTCTTCTGGCCACGATGATTGATAGATAGATACAAGAATTTTTGAAGTCTTTCTTGGATTTTTTGTAAAAGATGTAGAAAGTTTTTTTGTCAAATAAGTTCTTGTCAGAGAGAGATCCCCTTCATCTGATCTCCCTCTTTCTATATACAGGGGCAGTCCCTCAATTAACCCTAAAAATACAAGTATAAAGAATAAATAACAGAATATTCTCTTAAAGGTTCTATTGCTGAACTGGCCATTAACTGCTATCTGATACTTAACCTCGGCCATAACTGGTTGTTCGGCCAAGAATCCTGTTAGTGATTTATCGACCTCGGCAGATTTTGACCCATATAATATGCTCTTTAAAAGAAGAAAAGTATCTTTAATCTCAACCGGAAATGAATTAGCATCGTTGTCATCCTTGTTTTCCCCAAATTACACTTGTAAAAAATTAATAGCGAAAGGGATATTTCTCGTAATACCTTCCTCTCCTCCATCTAATTAACATGGAGCTGCCATATACCTCAAGTTTTCCGTTTCAACATGTTATCTTAGCGATCCCTCAACTTTTTTTTAGCACTTTTGGTTATAAGAGTTTTTTTATTTTATATCGAGGTGTCCGGTCGAGTTTATATGTATCTCGACTATTTTTACGGAACACATGTCACCTTTCACCAATAACAGGTATTAGGTAACTTTGTCTAGCAAAACTTGGATAGATGGAAAGAACTAACACATTATTTTTTGTCTTTATTGGTTGTAAGAATTGTTTAGTGACTTTTCGTGATACTTACCAAAATTGGGTGACTTTTTTTTCATACACCTAATTTAGTGGCTTCGGTTTAATAATATGTAACTTATTAAGTAATCATCCGTGAAATTAATTAACTGGCTCCCTTTATGTCATGAATTTTCCTTTTCATCTCTATCTAAGCAAAGCAAAAGCAATGTGAGCCCAAAAACATATTGTTTAGTTTGATTAGTTTGATTTGATCATATATTTTCCAAAGGATAAATAAGAAAAATGAAATTTCAAGAAATATGCTTGAAGTTGACCCCTAATACATCTCATCAGGTATCAAAAGCTAGCCTTGGTCAAAAAGCAGATCACTGGCTTTTGGAAATTAGGGCCCCAACTTTTTCTCCCTTTTATTAAAAATAATATCCTGAGAAAAGAAAAAGTTAAAGAGATCACATCACGCAACAAAAACTCTTCTTTTTAATTAGAAAAAGTTATTCTACCATTTGTTTTATTCTACCATTTGTTTTAGACAAGAGTAAGTTGTTACCGCGGGACCACCTTTCAATTCGAGATTATGAATTCGAGTAACCATAAAGTAAGGTGGAGAGTTTTTGGAGGGGGAACCGAGTTTCTATCGGAAATAGCCTCTCTATCCCAGGATAGGGGTAATGTCTGCGTACATACTATCCTCCCCAAATCCCACTAGTAAAATTATATTGGATTATATTGTTGTTTTATTCTACCAAGTTATATGTGTTTGGCCTATACAATACTTGGCATGATATTATGCAGTTGCATAGCCATATACAGTTAAGGACAGTTACATGAATATCTTTCGTCCAAAATTTTATATATAAAAAAATTATATTAAGTGTATATATAAAAAACCTTGGCGAAATTTCTGTATTATCCTTTCTTTTTTTCTCTCTCTTCTCTTGTTTTGTGAAAACTAGTGCTATATAGAGTATCTTTTGGATGAAGCTCGGGATGGTTCCGATCCATAAACAAGGTATTCTCTATACGATAATTAATATGAATTATCTGTCCCTTTAATCTGCGTTTAATCCGCTAGAGAATCTTCCCTTTAAGCAATCTCATGACTCATAGATAACACTCTCTTTAGGTAGTAAACAAATATTGTTTTGGATGTGGATGATTAGGTAAACCCCAATTAGTATATCAATAGCCATTATTTAACTATGATGAAAGAGGGAGACGTCACTCATTATCTCCATAATATCAGTGAACACTAAAAATTATATACTTTTAAACTTTTAGGCAGGTTTTGTATTGGGATAATGAATAATTAAATTTAGGATTAAATTTAAGAAAAATTTATCTCATATTTGGTTGGTAGAAAAGTGCAGTATAATTAGGGGCGGCCCGACGAATTTTGTGGCCTAAAGCAAAATTTTATGAGGGGCCTTAATTTTTATTTAAATTTGAAGTCCATTTTTTAAAATTTTTTTAGATGCAAAATTATTAATAATTTTTTTATAGTCAATTTTTTTCTAATAATTCTTTCTCAATAGACAATATAGCTAATTTATTTAACCTCTCTTCAGACATTATTGAGCTTTGTCAAGATTTTATTAATTTTAATTTCGAAAAATTTCTTTCTGCTGAAGCAACGGTAACATGAGTTATTAATATTATTCTATAAGCAATATAGGCATTTGGAAAAGAATCAAATCTTTTTATTTGATTGAGTATATCAATTAAACTATTATCTTCTAAAAGGGCAGCCCTGTGCACTAAGCTCCAACTATGCGTAGGGTCCAAGGAAGGGCCTGACCACAAGGATCTATTGTACGCAACCTTACCCTGTATTTTTTGCAAGAGGCTGTTTCCACGGCTCGAACCCGTGACCCTCCTGGTCACATGGCAACAACTTTACCCATTACGCCAAGCCTCCCCTTCAAAACTATTATCTTCTAATTGTACTATTTTTCTTAACACTTTTAATTTAGAAAATAAATCTAAATTATCAATATCGGATTGATTATTATGCTTTAAGGAACACTCAAGATTAAGGCAGTATTTTTTCTAAATTTCTATTATCTAGTGATCTCAGTTTTTTTACGCTAAATAGAAAACAAAAAATATTTTTATATGCTTCGAATTGTTCAAATATATTTTGAAGTGAAAAAATAGTCTTGTCTACTATGTATAAATAGTAATTAACTCTAAAGGACTCTTCAAGAGATTTCAATATCAATATTCACGTCAAATTATTTTTTTCTATATATCACACGTTACTTACAAAGTTTGGATTTGATTTTCATTTTAGATGCAATTTTCTTGGCCGAAATCATACCAGTTGTAAATCCTTTTACCCCTTAACCTTTTAAGATACAAGTTTTAAAAGTCTTTTTTTTTTTAAACTCCGTGACGAGTCAAACAATATCATCTAAATTGAAACATAGAGAATATATAATATAATAGGTGTAATAAAAAATGGGACCAGTTGCTTTAACTGCTTTAGGGTAGGGCCGCCCCTAAGTATAATTAATCCCGAGATTAGTTATCTCAGGATTGTAGTATTTTTTTATCTCCATGAAAGGATAAAATAACTAATCTCGAAATAATTTGTCTCGGGATAACTTCTTTCCCACCAAATTACCCTTAGCATACAGGTAGTAAGTATCATATTATATGGCGTTGTCCATGGGACACATGATAATATGAATTATTTGCTATAAAGCATATCAAACCTTCAAAACATTAGGGACGGATGTAGGTAAGTTATCGGGTTCATTTGAACTCGGTACTTTTGATGCAAAATATAAATTTATATATAAAATATTCACTAAAATTATTATGAAATAGTAGCTACAAACCGATATAACTTAAAAATATAATAGGTTCAGTGCTAAAATATCTAAAAGTTGAACCCATATAATTTAAATTCTGGATCCATCTCTGCAAAATAATAACATAGCGTAGTTCCTTCACATATATCACCATCAATAAGTGAAAACATATAGGAGGGGACATGATAATTTACTTACTATACGTTTGTATAAACGAGAATGAAAATTAACATTTGTAAACCATATCTCATTGACAAATAAAGCTTTCTTTAAAATTTAAATAAACTTTGAATCACCTCATATTTCAACTTGCAACGTCCCTCTATACATATATTGTCCATCTTTCCAAGATTGCCCCTAGACGGAAAGAAGACTCATGCTTGACATATTGGAGAGCACTGTATAGACAATACACCGTTCTTCAGAAACAAAATATTTGGCAACCTTTAGAAATTAAAAAAAAAATGGTAATAATTGTAAAGTAAATTTGGTGAGAAAACAATTTATACAAGTCATGAGAGGAATGGTATAGATCCCATGTAATTTCTACTTTCGACATTGATAATGCAGTATTCAGTTTAAAGTAACTTTGACAAGGATTAAAGTTAATGGAGATAGAGAGAGAACTTGAGTGAGAACAAAAATAGAGATAGACAAGACTTATTAATCAAAGAATATAGTTTTGAAGATATCTTTTCAAACTGAACATAGTTTGAAAAGATTTTCCACGTAAAATCTATTTTATTTCCGTTGTTTGACTATGAATATTTATGCGATACACAGTTGGTCCCAACAATAATTTCTTTTGCCCTTTATAAAATTCACGTAAATTTTTTCCGATTTTAGTCCTATATACTTGATTTAAGAAGAGGGCCCAAGTAATACCAAATGAGCCAATTTTTATACTTTGTGTAAGTTTCACTCAATCCTAAATAATATAAAAGAGTGTACATAAATATATTTGGTTATCGAAATCAAACTTCAAAGAAAACGTGTGTTCAACAAATTATCCAAGAAATTAAATAAACATAAATTTGCTTACAAAAAGAGTAGCAAGCATTCTTCAAAGGATATATCCAGCTGCTGCTATTTCCTCATCCAACAATAATGGAGCTACAACTTTATTCCCTTGCTCTTGCCACTTCCCTCACATTACTTTTCCTTCTGATTGTGAAGTTATCTAAGAAATTAGCAAAAAACCCTAATCTAAACTTGCCTCCAGGTCCATGGAAATTGCCTCTCCTAGGTAGTATTCACCACTTAATAAGCATATTACCTCACCATACTCTGAGAGATTTAGCCAAAAAGCACGGCCCGTTAATGCACTTGCAGCTTGGTGAAATCTCTACAATAGTTATTTCGACTCCTCAAGCAGCCAAAGAGGTATTAAAAGTTCAAGACATCGCATTCACAAATCGCCCTGAGCTTTTAAGTGTCAAGATTTTGTGTTACAACTATTCGGATATTGCTTTTGCACCCTATGGAAATTACTGGAGACAAATGCGTAAGTTGTGCACGTTAGAACTCTTGAGTGCCAAGAATGTACAATCATTTGCCTCTATAAGGGAGGAAGAAGCATTCGACCTTGTTGAATATGTGAAATCAAAATCTGGATCCACTATTAACCTTACAGAAAAGTTGTATGCTCTTACAAATGCTGTAATTTGTAGAGCAGCATTTGGGAAGAGGAGAAAAGAAGAATCAGCATATTTTATGTCTTTGATAAAGGAAGTGTCTTTAATGGTAACAGGTTTGGATATAAGTGAAGTGTTTCCTTCACTCAAATTTTTGCATGCCATTACTGGGACAAAAGCAAAATTAGTGAAGCTTCACAAAAAGCTTGACAAGGTGCTTGACATGATAATTGAAGAGCATAAGGAGAACCTGCAATTAGTAAGCTTGAAAAAGAATGGTGAAGAAGAATCAATAAGAAAAGAAGATTTGGTGAATTTGCTATTGAGACTCCAAGAAAGTGGCACTCTTGAATTTCCCTTCACTGCAGACAATATCAAAGCAGTCATATTGGTGAGATGTCTTTAGTTTCTTTTTTCTGTTTTTTTACATTAGTCCATTCTAAATAAGTCGTATTATTATTCATTCTTCAAATGGCTGCATCTTATCTAAACTTCGGCTACTAAAGGGGTACGTGTTTGTTCATTATTAATAGAGATTTAAATTATATGTTACAATTTTTACAATGTGATAGCAAGTTATTTATTGTTTTACCAAATTATTAGTTTATGCTTATCGAAAAATATACATATACAATTTATTTAAAACCCTTTAGAGGAATTTATACATAATACAACTTCTTTAACATTTATTTATAAATTTACAACTGCTTTTAGAAAATTTCACAAAATACAATTTATTATAACTTTTTAACTTTTTAATTAGATTACTAAGTTCATAAACTCCTAAAATTTCTCCCCTAAACATGGGACACTGGCACAAATAAATTGTTAAGTGGTCGGTTACATATTACCTAATGTTTTAGACTCCTATAATATTTCAACCATCCCTGTATTAATCATTAATACAATCAAAACAAATTCACTCTCAACAAAAATATGCCTTTTCAGTTTTAAATTATAGAAGGTTTTCATTTTTGTTTTCTCCCTTACAACCCCGACAAACCATACAAGGCTGGGGAATTTTGCAGCCGAAAGTGTTTGCTTTTCCCAAAGGCTTTTTGACAATGTATGATTTTATATTATATATACTATATATATATTATTATTATATATTTAATAATATATATATTTTATTTGTTTCCCCAAGTTTGCTTTTTCTTTATCTCTCCNATATATAGTATACAAACATTGAACTCAAAAAAAAAGAAGAAATATTATTAACAAATATACTATACTAGTATATACACACACTATGTATTACTGTATATTTTCTTTGGATAATGATTCCTTCAATGTATCCAATAAAATTATGGGTCTTCTTAATTTGATTGATTAATTTTGCACAGTTAGAGAAACATGAGATTTTTTTGATGTATCAACGTGGTTATGAGATATTGTTATAATTTTCATCAATAATTAACAAAATGGAGAATGTTTAGGGGCTAATTATGGGATATGTTATTCCCCTTTAATACGAAATTTGGTGTACTTGTAGGTATATTTTGGGAAAAGGGTCAAATATACCCCTCTACTTTCATATATTATCTTTATTTAACCTCTGTTATACTATCAGGCTAAATTTACCCCTACCGCTATACTATCGGGTCAAATTTACCCTTATAATCAGCAAACTTTTAAAAATACCCCTTGATATGTTAAGTAATACAAAATCTCCCAAATTTCTTTTATTTAAATCACTTGTTGTTGGTCTTCTTGGTCCACTATTTTTTAAATAATTGACATTTACCTGCTTTCTGAATTAGAGAAAAAAAAAGAGAAAACTATCAAATAATACAACCGAATAAACAAAGTATAATAAATTGAAAAATCTAAATTAGGTAGCTTTTCTAAATTATAAAAGTATTTACAATATCCCAATTTTAATGAATTCGTTACACCAAATGTGTGGAGACTTTGCAAGTATCAGCGATTGAACTTGAAGTTCCTAGGAGACTTTACATTGTCTAATTCAACTTTGCTTTAATTAAATGCATATACATTGTACACTCTTAAGTTAGTCGATCGAACTCTATGCTAACCAGGCAATGACAAAATATATTTGCATATACATGTACATACATGATGATCAACTGCATATAATACATAATAAATAGACCCACTAAATTTTACGGTGTGTATATGATTAAAAATAAATAAATTCTAAACCAATTTTATTTATTACAAGAAGAGAAATGGGTGCATTGCTAATTTTAAAAAATAAAAAATAATTTGTATAGTCTAGTAACTTTAGCATTCACATCAATAGTAAATTTTAAAAATAATGGAGCAAGAAGAACAACAAGTGATTTAAATAAAAAGAATTTGGGAGATTTTGGATTACTTAACAGATCAAGGAGTATTTTTAAAAGTTTACTGATTATAAGAGTAAATTTGGCCCGATAGTATAAAGGTAGGGGTAAATTCGGCCCGATAGTATAACGGAGGTTAAATGTATACAATATATAAAATTAGAGGGGTATATTTGGCCCGTTTCCCGTATATTTTTATACATCTGTTGTAGAATATGTTATTCTATTATTAGTTGTAGATTAGGAAATATTTTATAAATTCCTAAGTAATTGTGAAAATTTCCCTTTTTTATCCCATTAATCATAGAACTTAAACTCTATTAATAGAAGCCTATTATCAATATTTTTTAAAACATTTACTAAAAGAATTGATAATCATCATTACTACTAATAGAAGTCCTCGGTTAAACCATAAAGTACTTTCTCTATTCCATTTTATGTGTGATTTTTTCTTTTTTATTCGTTAAAAAAATGACGTATTCTATATTTGAAAATATTTAATTTTAACTTTCTCATTTTATTTTTAATTGCATTCTTTTATAGCCACATAAATTTTATGGAAGGTTTAAGACCATAGAGTTCAAAAGTTATTTTTCTAAATCTATTATATGCTGAATCAAACACCGTTACATAATTTGAAACCGTTGGATTATTTATGTAGGTCAAAGTTACAAGTTATTCATTTGATGAGTTACCCATAATTTGCAAGTTGCAAGTAGTAATAATTGTAAATGCATGCAGGACATGTTTGTAGCCGGGACTGAGACTTCAGCTACCGTTCTTGATTGGGCAATGGTAGAAATGATGAGAAATCCCAAAGTCATGGAAAAGGCACAAATAGAATTGAGACAAATTCTCAAGGGAAAGAGAAGAGTAAAAGAGAATGATTTAAAAGAAGTGAGGTATCTAAAGTTAGTAATTAAAGAAACTCTAAGGTTACATCCACCACTTCCTTTGTTACTTCCAAGAGAATGCAGGGAGCAATGTGCAATTAATGGATATGATATTCCCATAAAAACAAAGGTAATTGTAAATGCATGGGCAATTAATAGAGATGTTGAGTTTTGGGAAGATGCTGAGAGATTTGTACCAGAGAGGTTCAATGATAGTAGAAATAATATGGAATTTATAGGACAAGAGTTTGAGTATTTACCATTTGGGGGAGGAAGAAGAATGTGCCCTGGAATTTCATTTGGTTTAGCCAACATTGAGCTGACTTTAGCTCAACTTCTTTATTATTTCAATTGGAAGCTGCCTAATGAGATGAAGCCTGAGGATCTTGATGTTACTGAAACACCTGGTTCTAGCTGCAGAAGGAAATGTAATTTGTATGTAATTGCAACACCTGTAATAATGGAATAATTGATAGCTAGAAATTGTGTAGCAGATGAATAAGAAGATGAAAGAAAATGTAAGGTACTTAATTGATAAGTATGATGAGATATCAGTAATTAATTACTGTTTTGTGATATTTTCCTTTTCAAAATTTAAATTCTTCTAGTTTGATGTACTTTTACAGATTTGAGCCCTTCCCACTCTGATATTTGATCAGATTGTTGGTTGCACCAGCTTGATTTCTTATCCATCTGGTACTTATGATCCAGTGTTAAGTTTTGAAACTTTGAATAATTATTTAAATATCATGATATATGGTTTGAAGCTATGATCATTTTCATTTTATACTAACACTTTCAAATAATCAATTTTGCTCTGAACATATTTTTGGAATTATTTCATGATTAACTATCATCGGGATTACTGGTATTAACTTCTCAATCAAAGTTTAGATGAGTTTTGAGTAAGGAGATTTCTCAATCAAAGGTAATACAAAATTGTCTGGCAGTATGAAAAATGGGATAATTAAGCAAGGTAAACTTGTATTTATCAACCATACATTACGTCTATAAATTAATCAACAGTATTTGATTAGCTCACGAGGATGGACCATTAATGAATTAATTATGTGTTAATAACATTAATTGTAGAGTAAACTCACCCTCTTCATGATTTTCAATTTCTTTTTTTATTTGGTGGCACTTTCATGGCGTCAACTAGTTATTATCAAACCATTTACAACTCCTTCAAAATAATATTTCAACTCTTTTCATCCTTCACTCCTGTTTAAATAAGACTTTCTGATATTTAACAAAATAAACTTCAAAATCTTCCTTACATTTAGTATCCATACGAATACTGGCTAAGCAATATTTTAAATATATAATATTTCTTTTCCTAATTATCTAACTATGAGCAAATAATTTTCAATCTGGAAACAGTTTATAGGATAAATTTCCCTATTATAAAGTCTTTCTTGAAAAAATCAATCCCAAGTTAAAGACGTAACGTTTTGTAAATTTGGACTTTTAAGAAGTTGAAAGTGACAATATTTGTTTAAAATTTCGCTTTTTTATTAGCCTAAAAAAGTCCCATCGATAAACACATGATCCTCGCTAACTGATAATGAACATGATCGAACAAGTAATTGAAAGACCACCTCAATTTTTAGTCTCAATAATGAAATAAAGATAAAAGCGAAATCCTCATTAAGGTAGGAGGAGGAGTTGATGTTTTCTTAGGAAAAGGAGACGAAAAATAAGGAGTTGGGTTTTTATCATTGTCTTCCAAGAAGTAACCCGAAAGTGGATAGCTATGCCTAAGGTGTGATTAACATGGAGAAATCTGATATTAACAGGAAGATAGCTATCAATATCAATGTTTTAAAAGGCATTTTCGGGGCGAGACACGGGGCGAGGCGCACCAAAAACGCTCCGAGGCGATAGTGTGGGGCGAAAGTCTCAAGAGACATAAGGGGTGTATGCACGGGCGTTTGAGACGCGTTTTTTAGTGAGGCGTAAGCCCAGAAACATTTTCAAATTAAAATAAAATTTGTTGAATAAATGTTTCATATAATATCCAAATTCTCAATTCAACTTGGTAATTATTCAAAAGTTTTAAAAAGAAACTAAAATGTATTAAATTTAAAAGTCAAGACCTTTTTTATTAATTGAAACCCTAATTCATGGTCTTTCCCAATTCTTTATCTTGTCCGCCAGTCTGCTAATATCTCCCAAAAGCAACGAATATTCAATTTTATTTACAAATACAAAGAGAACTTCATTCTCCTTCATATCACCAAGTTCAAAGTTCAAATTGCAGGTTAGTCATCCTTTTTGTTCCTTCACGTAGAAAACTTTATTCTTTTACTCAAGTTACTTGTCCTTCTAAATAGCGTATAATAGATTGTTTTGACTAGTTTTTTTTATGGGAATGGAGCACATCTATATATATAATTTTCAAATATTTATAGTTTTCTTTAATCTTTATATGAAATTTTACCTGTTTAAAAATATTTACTGTAATTATATTATTTTATAAAATATTAAAGATTAAATATCTATGGGGCTTACGCCCCGTGTCCCGGGGCTTACTCCTCACCGAGTACATATCTCGTCTTACGCCCGCGCATTTTAAAACACTAATCAGTATTTGGTGACCTACTTATCAAATCAATCGAATTTGATAACTCTGGTCCAGATCCTATATTTACCTTAAGATATCCATTATTTAGAATCCAATAATTTACGCGGACTAGAATCCCAAACTCATATCGGCTTGTGGCATTAAGTTCTTGCAATAACCTTAAAGGGAGTAATAGAGCGAGCAGGCACAGAGTCCTCTCTGTTTTATGACTATGAGGGTTATTGGAAAACCTTTTTAAGCGCTTAAATTTCGATTTTTATGCCCTATTAATTTTCTTGGCCTTTTTAATACTTAATCAAGTTTCAGGCTTTGTGGGGGGAAATGAATCGAGGTACTAAATTCGAAACGTGTCTCTGCATTTTACGGGGCCATGTTACTATATATTGAGCAATTTTATGAAAAGATCTCACTGCATATAGTGAATTTCATTTGATTAGTTAAGCAATTACTTGAATAGGTAGTCCGCAGTATAAGCCAGATTAATGTTCCTAATGAGATGCTCATATTACAGTTCTGTTTATCCGTAAAATGTTACAGTTGAATTTGTAACGTGGTTTATAGACAAGCGAATCGATTTGATTCCAAAACAATAGATAAATTAAATAAAATGCAACACTTAGCATTGAAATCGAGATACGATAGTGAGTAGCCTGGTTCCGGGAGCAAAGCTCCCGAAGGCGGTAATAGCAATGTTAATAAGCAAGAAATAAAACGTTATTGAGCTTTTAAATGGTATATAACATAAGTTTGTCAGAAAATTTGTCTGCTTCCAATGGTTGTTGAAGTCGTTATTTATAGTTGCACATAGGGAACAAGGTCCTAAGATCAAACCCCTCTTAAATGACAATTATGGGGGCTATTGAAGAATGTGTAACGACAAGCTATCAATGTCATATTCTTTATGACGGACTATATAGTTAACACGGCAGAATATTCCTCATTGAATGCTATCGGGTGACAGATATTCCTTTGTCTTCATAAGTAATATTCCCTTCGGGGGCTTCCCGGTGCAACCCGAAACTACTGTCCCCGGTCTTGATTTCTACCTATTTTTTATCTGTCTTCGGTTTCACGTGTCATTCTATTATGCGAGTATTTAATATGAACTAATTTTACCCAATACAGATAGTTCCCTTGCTTTTCGGTAGCACATTTTTGTGTCATCGGGAAGTTGGTAAAGATACCTTTCTTGACGGAAAATTTTCAGATCTTTTCTGAAAAATTTCTGACGCTTGATTAGATGCATGTCTCTCCGCATTTAATACCTTGAATACGTGTCACTCCACAATTCAGCAAAACTTTCGCCGGTTCTTGAGGTAATCATGACCGCAATTTTAGCCGCCTATTCCTTTACTTATACGCCTCATTCTCTTTCTTTTACACTTCATAATTGTTTGAACTCTCTCAAACTTTTCTTACTCAACTTTCTCTTGCTTTCATCTTTCTTTAAATTTTATCTTTAGAGAAATTCCCGCTTCCTTATACTAACCATGGCCTTGATAAGCGAAAATTTTGACTGTTTATTAACACACCTTTTTGCTTTTATTTTAGTCCGAAAGTATTGATTTATATTTCCGAAACTAATAAAATTGTACAAATTGCAAGAATGTTGGAAGTTTAGTCTACCATAATGAAATCCTACTCAAAAAGGAGTATTTCGAAGCATGAGGCATTAAAGGGCGCAAATGCAAAGAAGTGCAGTCTGCAGAAGAAATTGCGGACCGCAGAATTTCATCTGCGGCCGCAAACCAAGCAACAGAATCCAAGCATGATTTTGACTAATATGTGGTTGACCGCACATGAATTGTGGAGCCGCAGAACAGGGCTTTCACTGATAAAAAATTTAAAGTTTAGAGAATATGTAAAAAGACCAAGTCGTGACGCCTTGTTGAAGTGCGGACCGCACAAGAATTGTCTCTTGTGCGGCCGCAAAAGTTGCTTCGCAGCCGCAATCTAGAAATGTGCGACTGCAAAACCCATTCTCCTACCAGCTGAAGAAATCTGCGGACTGCACATGGAATTGTATGACCGCAAAACCTCCCAAGGGGCATTTTTGTTTGCGATTTTTGACCCACAATAAATAAATGAATTTCACAATTTTAGGTCAAGTTTTGAGGTAAAAAGCTATTGTAGCCGTTACCTTGTGCCATTTTAGGAAGTTTTTAATTATTTTAATGTTTAAACATTATACTTCATCAATTTAATCTATGATTATGGGTTTTATTTGAATTTCTTCTTTATTTTCTTCAATACCCACTATGAGTAGCTAGATTTTTACTAGGATTGTGATCCAACCCTAGTGTGTAACCTTATGGGTATTTAATTTAATATTTATTTATTATTGAGTGTTGATTATTTAGCCTAGTTCATGCTTCAATTTTAGAAATAATGGTTGCAAACATTGATTCATGCCTTTTTGACTTCGTCTCTATTTGAGAAAGAGGGACCTAGTCTAGGATAACTTGGCTAACAATAAATTGGGTTAATTGAGAATTCGATTAGCCTAATTAAAGGGTTCAAACTAGAGATAGTAAGAACCCAACTTGAGCTCATATCATCTATTTTGTTTGATACCCATTTGGGTTTGCGAAAGTCAAATTGGGCAAAACCACTCTTTGACCGAGAGGTATTGAGTGGGTAACGTAGAGTTGAGAGTTATAATACATCCAAATCAAACAAACAAGTGTTAACGTATTTAACCTATTAGGAAAACACCTAGGTCATGGTCACATACCTAGGCTTTTAAACTATTTGGAAAAATACCAAAAAACAATCATTCATTTCTAGTTTCTTTTACTTAGCTTGCAATTGTTAGAGTGATAGTAGAAGTATAAATCAAGACTTTTTGTGGAAGTGAAAATTTAGTTAATCCACTCATTTTCTTCAAGTATATGCTCCTAACACCCCTTATAACTCTGTGTGGATTCGACCCCGACTCATAGTTGGGTAATTTATATTGTATACGACTGTATCATAACTCTTATTGAGGTG